TAAAAGAAACATTTGTGGATAAGCAAGCTGGGAATAGAAGAAAAAAAATGAAGTAAAACTTTGAAGGAGGCTTCAGTGTAGAGGGTATTAGGCGAAAAACAATAAATATCAACAGGTAAGGCTTCTTTATTTAAAAAATGATAATAGCCTAATTCTTTTAAGATTTGCATTCATAGTTTACAAAAACCTACTAGTGAATAAGAAATGTTTCCATAACCTCTATTGTTGATAGTGTCATGTGTATAACAGTTCAGAAAACTTTAAAATATGTTTTATGTTACTATTCAGTAAAATTAAAAAAAGCAGGTGTAAATGTCAAGCTGAATATATTTCCAGGGCTTAACCAGTTATATGTATATCAAAAAAGGATGGAGAGGAAGGTTGAAGAACATCAGAAATTCAAAAAGACTGATGCAGATTCTGAAAAGGAAGGCAAAATGACATCTTAAATACCATTTTTGTTTGGCAGATGCTCCACACGAAACTATCCTTTTGAAAGAACAGGATGCTAGGCATTTATAATCCCGTAACAATGATTCATTGTTAAAAAAAACTCCTTGCATAATACAGAAAACTCTGCAAGCTAAAGAATCCATTTGTTATTTTTATTCATTTCAGTTCTTGGAAATCTGCCACTAGGATGCAACAGCCAATCTGTTGTGTCTAAGAGACTACACTTTACTACTAAGACTACTACAGAAAATTATAATCTTTTGCTTGTCACTAAGCTTCTTACCTGAACACTTCTTTGATTTGAGAATGCCCACAACAGACTACTGGTGGGGGACAGTTCAAGCCTCAGATTCTAGTCACGTGAGATGTGATGCTTGGGTAGTATATATTCCAGTTAGTAGGAAATCAGTTCTGCTGGACTTTTTCTGTTATTAGAGATCACTAATTTACCTTTTATTTTATAATCGCAAAGAAACTTTGCAAGCAAATTCCTACATATTCAGACAAATAAGTGCTTTAATGACTATTTTAAGAAATGTGTATCCAGAAGTGCTTCTGAAACTTATCTTGCAGGGCAGATGCATGAAGAAACCTGTGCACCTAAATCAACTGCGTATCTTTGTTTACGTTCTATCAAAGGTTACTAGAGGTTTGACTCTAGCATCTGTGTGATTCCCTTGAGTAACAGTCAAACAGGATTGACACTTCAAAAAGAGGAAGTATTTTACTATTTCTGGACACTTCATTGTAGTCATTACTGTAAAAAGAGCTATTGTTTTAAGACTACAGTAAGCTAGAAGGTAATTTTTCTCCAGACAATAATATTACATAAATATAAAGCTGTTATAGCAACTTGACTTTTTTGGCTGCATTTCCAAGTTGTTCTTAGTCAAATAATAGGTTGATTTCTTTATCCGAAAAAATTAAACTCTCTTGTATATGCCTGTGGCACTTACAACCTTCTCTTTAAGACCAGTAAAAAGAAGGAAGTTACCATGCTCTTATGGATGGTCATACACATGATCATATCTGTGTGGCCTCCATAGACTTGCAAGCGGTCGTGCGACTTGAAAGAAACAGAAACAGACATTTAAAGCAGGACATTCAATAGCCATTTTTCACAGACATGCAAAGGATAAAGCTTATAAAAGCAGTTTGCCTGGTAGCAACTGAACTCCTCTGGTGGATTCCAAAATTAATAGCCACCTTGAAAGCTCATTGTTGCTTACATTGCTTCCGTGAGTCTTTTTGTCCAACTAAGCACTTGGTCTTTTCAGCAGACAAAACTAACATTTCCACCTTTTTCAGAGCTGTCATTGTCTTAGGTTCTAAAGAAATGGTTTAGGTTATATTCTTTAAAACCCACGTATTTTGGCTGGTGAGACAACTATATATTCTGAGTGACAGCAAAGAGAGGGATAGGCCAGAGACCAGTAAGCACAAAGATGACTTCTATTTGACTTCAAAATAATTAATTAATGCATCTTAGGTAAGTGTCATTAGTAACCATCTATTTTCTTACCTGTAGTTCATAAACACGAACAAATTTATCCAGACATGCTGTCACCATCACTTTCCCAAGAATGTTCACAACCGTCACTGCATGGTTATGGCCCTTATAGATTCGTACGAGCTCTCCAGTCTGCATCAAGAAAAAGAAAGGTAAACAGGTGTTTGGTTTCTCTTAAACAACAAAACAGCTTTACTTAACCCAGATACGGTAGCTAGCTTTTGTGCTCAATACTCAAAAATGGAAAACCCCTTTATTACACTTCCACTTCCTATGAAGGCACTTCTAGATTACGATCAAATATCATTTTGTTTGCCCATCTAAACACAGAGCCATTCCAGTACAACAGAAAAGCATGAGTCTATGAAAAGTTTTATCTTCCTCTACTTCTCTTTCCATCTTTAGTTACATATTCCCATCCACCTTGCAACTAGTACCATGCTATTTGTACCAGCAGTATTTAGTTAGCCACAAGGATCAGTGAGCAAATCTAGCTAAATACACAGAAATATATTTTTTTGTCAATTAAAATTTACCTCTGATAAATTTCTTAATCTAACTTATTGCACAGCTACATGAATGCTTCTCCTAGGACTGTGGAAAGATGGTGTAAAAGAGGGAAAGAGTGGCAGGCTAGAGACAGCTTTTGAACCATCTAGCTTGGAACACCGTTCCTCATGCTTTTCCTGTAATAAAGAAACTCTTCCCCCAGCACAGTATCTCACATGGGTTTGCTTTCAACCCCTTCCATATTATCAGCACATTTTTTAGTAATATTTGCAAAAGCAAGAAGCCCATTAAAAAGGCATTGCATATCACATGACAGGAGTCGGCATGTTTATGTACTCTTCACATATCTTTAGTTAGCTATAGTGCATAGTCACATTAACAAAATCATGAGACTTCCTTTTCTGGAAATTATTTGCTCCACCAGTGAAAAATTTGGAAAATACTGACTTTATAGCACAGGAATTCACTGCCTTAATAGCAAAAGTCATTCCATCCTTATATATGAGACTTACATGAATGTTGTGGGCATGGACAGACTGATCACTGGAGCCACTGAATACCAGATCATTCACAACCTTACAAAAAAAAAAGTTTTATTTTTTGTAACAGATATTGAAATGGGCGAGTGAAATATTAAGATGCTCTTCAGCTCAGAGTTGTACTGCAGTACTTCCTAAATTTCACAGACTTCAAATCAATAAAGAATATGAAGAAAAAGCATGCATTGAGTTCTTTACCTAAGAGCTAACAAATGTATTATAATATCCTAACTATGACTTTTAACACTTTGCAACTGACATAAGAAGCTGTTGACTTGCAGTCCACCAGGCTAATTCATTCTACCTATGGACAATTCTCAGGCACAGGTCAGCAGCAAATCAGGGACCAAGCAAACTGAATGCAGAATGCTGCTCTGCACGTGCACACTAAAGCCCACTGTTTCCTGAAATTTTGGATATGCTGTGTACTTATATTCTGCTCAGGTAAGAAGAACAATGCTCCTAACTAGTGCTACTCTAGGAAGAAAGCTCACCAGATCCATCATGGATCAAGAAGGGACCATGGTATGCTGTCATTGAAGAAGAATTAGGACAGTCTGCAGGGCAAAAAGGGCTGTGCCACCGCACTACAATAAATAAAGTGACAAACACAATTTATGGAAGTAATCGCCTATCTGTTACATGATAGTGGTCACAGCAAAACAGTCAGACAAGCACATGTTCCATCTCATAATTTCAGGAGCCAGAAACCTGTAAATAAGTTAGTGATTCTTCTATTAAAAAAGAATACTTTTTGAGTTCATTTTTTCCAGTTTCCTCTGAGGTTTGTACTATCAGGTTACATGAAGACTAGCTTCACCTTTTCCCCAACTTTCCTTCTGTTGGTAAACTCACATTTAAAAATCCCCTAAATCTTCTAACAACATGAAATGTTATTATGCTTTCTACATAGGTCTTGCTCTTGGATCACAACAACCCCATGCAACACTAGGCTTTGAGAGGAGTGGATGGAAAGCTGCCTGGAGGAAAAGGATCTGAGGATGCTGGTCGACAGTGGCTGAACATAAGCCAGCAGTGTGACCACGTGGCCAAGAAGGCCAATGGCATCCTGGCCTGTATCAGAAATACTGTGGCCAGCACGACCAGGGCAGTGATTGTATTCCAGTACTCAGCACTGGTGAGGCCACACCTTGAGCGTTGTGTTCAGTTTTGGAAGGACATGAGGTGCTGGAATGTGTCCAAAGGTAGGCAACAAAGCTGGTGAAGGGTTTAGAGCACAAGTCGTATGAGGAGCGGCTGAGAGAGCTGGGGTTGTTTAGCCTGGAGAAAAGAAGGCTCAGGGGAGACCTTATTGCTCTCTGTAACTACCTGAAAGGAGGTTGTAGTGAGGTGGGGGTCAGCCCCTTCTCCTAGGTAACAAGTGACAGGACAAGAGGAAACAGCCTTTAATTGCACCAGAGGAGGTTTAGAATAAATATTAGGAAAAATTTCTTCACTGAAAGGATGGTCAGGCACTAGAACCGGCTGCTCAAGGAAGTGGTGAAACCACCATCCCTGAGTGTTCAAAAAACATACGTAGATGTGGCAAGTGGGGACATGTGATATGGTAGCCATACAGAGACAATTTTCCTACCAGATTACTCAGTTTTTATAATTTAAAACAGAGAAATCCTCTATTTCCTATCGCAATCTGTTCACTAGTAGATGAAGAAGAAAATACACATAATTTTAAGTATTCTTTGTCAAAAATGTTGTTTTCAGAGACACTTGCCTTCATGCAGAGTATAGTCTTGCTGTGACCTTCCAGGGTTCTGAGAAGCAGTCCATTCCGTGCATCTCGCACGCTGATGGTGCAGTCATAGGAACCCACTACCAACAACTTGCGTGCTCCTTCCTGAGCTGTGGCTAGACAGCTCACTGCTCTAGGGCCATGGCATTCAAAGGTATCAACCTGTTTATTATTCTGTTGGGGGAAGAAAAAAATGGTATTTAAGAATTAAAACTTTGCTATGACACTGACTAGACCATTGAGTCCTTTTTGTGTTGTACTTGTTAAAGCATCTGATTTCAGTTTAGTAACCCAATTTCAGCATTAGTAAGAGTTGCATCTTAACAATTAAGTTTCCAAATCAAGGAAATAACTCTTTATGTTAGGCTTCAATTTTCTGTCTTTAAAAAAAACATTTAATTGTTTAGCAAAGGTCCAGTAGATCCTCTTGCAGAGTCAGAACAGTGAAAGGAAACAGTGTTACGAGAAAAATGCAAAACAAGATAAATTTGTAAGGATAAATTTGAGAAATTAAGTCTAGAATCCATGAAAAGAATAATCAGAAAAAATAGCTCATTTAAATAATAATTTTTATTCACTTTTAAACATCATGGGGACTGCTGATAAAACCTCTTTGTCAGAAAAACATGTGACTCTCTTTTATAACTGCAAAAGGAGTAGGCAAAACCAACAATACATAAAAGTCTCTCACACTACTTTGAAGGGCAAGAAAGGAGGATTCACAAATAATCAGCTGTGTCAGAAATGACACAGGGCTGGTAGACCAGGAGGAACCTTAAGGAAAAACATAACAATACCGCAGCTAAAAGAAAGGTAACCAAAGGGACAGGGGATGGTATAGCTTCATGCACAGACAAAATAAAGGACCAAAAGGGGCCAACAGTGACCATTTATACCAAAATACTTCCATTACAAATACATTTACTACTCTAGAGAAAGAATGGAAAGAAACACAAAGTGGAGAGACACAGCATCACAACAGGCTTTTAGGTGCCAATATTTAAACTAACCTTTATGCTGAAAGTAACCACAGTACCATTTGCAAGGCCCGCATAAAGGATCCGCCATCTACTGTGTAAACAGAGCACTCGATCTTCCAATTTAAATTGTTCCATACACTCTTTGGTCTGGCAATAGAAAGAAGTGTTTAAAGCTTTTAATTAACCAAAAACAATTCAGGGAAAAAAAGCCTGAAGTGAATGATGGTTTTCACCTATAAGCTGCATTTCTTAAACCAAGAGAGCTGGAAAAAAAATCTGACAATCTGGTGTCACATGGCAGTTTGATCCTGGTTTTAATCAGGAACATTTCTCAGACTTGACTGTACTTCAGAAACCAGTTATAATCCTAAACACTTTATTCTATTCACGACCTCTAACGTATATAGAAATTTAGACTACAGACTATATATGTATATATGGAAACCACCCTGTACATAGCTGAGGTTGAGGACTCCCCATAGGGAACTTAAGAGTTTAAAACCTCTGGCAATTTGCTCCCTGAAGCAGATATTTGCTTTCTAGTCCTTCAAGTCCCAGGTTGGACAAGCCTTCTTATCATTTACCCTCAAACATCCAGCTTCAGGAAGTCTCAGCCTGCTATTTCATCTGCCCTTGGAATAACAGACACCTGTTGTCTCTATAGCTGCTCTACAGCTAGAGAGAGAACAGAGAGCAGTGCCTTCCACAAACAATGAAATTAGACATATTCCATAAGCAATAAAGTTAGAAATACAGCAAGAGAAATATGATATTCATGGTCAAACAACCATCCTGCACTTTGTTGTTGCCAACATTTGGGATCATGTCATGCTGTTTCAGTAAAAACTGTACTGACAAGCTAGCCAAAGGATTTGGGCAGTTAATCAGTTAATACCTTGCTGTTTTGTTTGTCTGGGGAGGGGTTTCTGCTCTACTCTATGGTGGTATGAAGTAGGGCTTACGTCCAGCTTATATGGGTTTAAAAGGCTTTTTTAATTTATATTTGTAAAAAAACACTTGCATAAAATGAGATATATGTTAACCAACACAGAGTTTGAGTACCTTGATATTGTAACAGTTGATAGTGTGGTCGCTTGAGCCAGTGTAGAGTGCAGCATTCTTCCCATTTGTCTGAGTAACCAGAAGGCAGTTCACTTTTGAAGTATGTCCTTCAAAGATGGCCACACACTTCCTGCTCTAAAAAGGAAAGCACAGTGTCAGTGTAAATGCCCATAATACCTCTCAGGATATCTGCATAACAGAATAAGGAAGGACAGCTAAAAAAAAGCAGGACACATACAGCAATCTATCTCTCGTTGCCTCTCCCATAGGCAGAAGGGGTTGGGGAGGGAGAGAAGAGAGTTTTGAAGAAAAGTATAGTATAAAATAAATTACGTGCTTGAAAAAGCAGCTGCTTCCTTAGCTACATAGTGAGGCTTTAAAAAAAAACAACGTTTTGATTGCAATTCATTTAACACCATTCCCACAACCTTACTTACAACGAGATTGTAGGCACAAACAGTTTTGTCTGCTGAGCAGGTATACAACAAATTCCCAAAAATCTGAATAGCATTCACTGCAGCCAAGTGTCCCTCAAAGGTTCCCTCTGTAGGTTCTTCGTCCTCACCTGGCTCCGAAGACACTTCTGTAGGACAGAGATAAATGTATTTTGATTATGGGAACACTTTTAAGCAAACACACTACTGTTGTTTGTATTGTCAACCAGCAGAACTATTTTGTGGGCTCAGCACCTTGAAGTCAAATTTAACTGTGGGTCCCAGCTGGAGTGTGAAAGTGACAGAAGGCAATATAAAATGCCAGAAAGACCTTATATGACATTAAGTCCAGAAATATCTTTAAAATAGAAAAATGACTGTATTATTGTTTTTCCTACAGCTCTACAGAGACTGTGGAACAGAAGTGTTTGTGTGGGAGGGGGCAGAGGGCTGTGGAGGAGTCAAGGCACAAAGCATTCAATGAGAGATGATGTGAGTAGATGTCACTTCCCACTTCAGTTTTGAGTGCAGGCTTTTATCTTCAAGGCAAAATTCCCCTCTAGAAGCAGTTTGATTAAGACTTAAAGTCCTGCAAGATACCACATACTAAGTATCAGCAGGAAAGCATAAAAGATATACCTGAGGAGTTCTTTGATCCTCTCAGTGATGATATGGAAGCCTGCGTCTCAGCCACACTGCAACAAAAATAAAAATTAGCAAGATTGGACTTTGTATGTTCATTTTCAGACAAAATACTGGTGTAAGTAATATTCCAAAACACAAGACTCTGCACTTAGTACAAAATATGCTGTGATAGATAAGCTCAAACACAAACTTTCCATGAAGGGTAGCCTTGTTCTCATATTAAGAGAAATTAATAGGCAACAAAACGCATTCATTTGTTGACCAAAACAGCCAAGTCAGTTTTTATTTTCCCTCTTATGTCACTCCTAAATGAAATAAAAAGTCACTGATTTTGTAAGACTTTCTAAGTAAAAACAAAAAAGAAAAAAGAGAAGCCTCATCAATATTGTATAAAAATACTTTTGAGAGGTCTACAATAATCTCACCTTCTTTTCCCATCATTCCTATAATTTGTGCCAATTTCACTGGTGGAGCTCACTTCATCATAACCAGAGCAAGATGCCTCTAGGAGTGCTTGATCCACAGAGCTGTGTGAATCCCTCTTTGATGGACTGTCTGGTTTCTCATCTCCTGACTCTGATGAACCAACATCAACCACCTCACACTGAGGTGCTGAAACTTCCACTAGTTCCAGAGAAGCATCACTGTCATTCTTATCTTTCTTTCTTGCTCTTTGAGCAGTAGCTCCATCCTCCTCTCTTGGAGAAGTAGATGTAGTAACTTTTTCTCCTTTAGGAACCTTTCCACCCTTGACTTTCCGGACAGGCTTGGAGTCAATCATATCCTGCTCTGTATCGCTGTTCTCTGGCACATGGGCTGCCCTCAGAGTTTTCTTCTTCCTTAACCTTCTCCTCCTCCTGTTCCCTTTTTCTGCTGGGACTACAGTGGCTGCCAAGTGTTGCTCGGATGGTTCTGCTGACAATTTGGGGGTTTTATCCATTGGCATTCCTAGGAGGACCGAATGCTTTGAAAGAGAAGTGTTACACTGATGCAATAAAAATTCTTCAGCTACTGTATCATTTGTCTCACTCTTGCTGAAAACAGACAGTGCTTGAGGAGAAGGGTTCTCAGGGAGTCCAGACTTTACTCTGTCTGCAGCAGGCTTGTGGACATCTTGATTAGTGTGTTGGAAACAAGATATCAGCTCTGATAGGGACATGGTTGCAGAGATAACTGGATACACTGAAGTTTTCGGGTTGGTCTCTTCTGAAGAAAACAGACGAGCGTTACATTCAATCTGTACAGCAATAAATATTTATGCAAAATGGCTCTCCCTGCATTTTTCCATTTACACTTAATTGTGCATGTAAAGTACATATTCCTACATGTTGAAAACTATGTGCACATGCAGATCTGCTATTTCAGTCAGCTATCCAGCCTTTAAAAAACATAGCTGGGGAATAAAATGTTTATCTGTGTAGCCAGAAGCGAAGAAATGGTGCACATCATTCAAGCTGCTGGCCAACTATGCTTTTAAAGTTCTGACAATCTTTGGTGAATCCTATATTGTTGGCTTAAAATGCTACCACTCCTCTCTGTGTGCTCCCTTACCAGCTGTCACAACTGCTGTAGTAATGATGCATGCCAAGCACGACTCAGCTGTTCAGTGACACAGTATGAAGACCTTGTGCCGAACCCATCTGAATTAGTTATTTCTACCAAGTTACTTGGACCTAATTCTAGGTTGATGAGTCGTGCACGACCCACTCTGCAGCATTGTACCATATCCAGGGAATGGCAGCACTGTAAGCCATGAGGGTAGGCTTTAGTTAGTTGGTTTACTTAATTTAGTTCATCTGTGGTGGACTATGCAATGAGGCAAACATACTCTCCCTGTCATTTATTTTAATTAATATGAACCAAAGAATGCAATCCCTCAACTGCCCTTAGTAAGGGCAGCATCTAACAGCTGTTTCCTGCACCCTAAAATTCCCCGGTTGCATTTGCAATAACTACAATCCAGAACAGGATGTTTCAATTGACTGCATTTATTGGGTGAGATCACACAATGCAAATGGGAAGCTGGTAGTATTTGAAACATTCCCCTGTTTCACTCTCTCAGAAACCACCGAACTAATCCTAAAGTAATGCTTAGCCAAAAGCACATTACACATCACAGTATAAATGGGACGCTTTGGAATTACACATCCAACTAGAAACAGCCAAAATGAGAATATCTCACCCACACCTTCCTCAGATGGGAAACTCCAAGATAAAACTAGAACTTGCTGACAGCCCGTAGGGTATGTCGCATTTAAAATAAATCAATGGAAAGATGTTTTCCTCTGGACACATAACTTACACACAGCTGTAAAATCTGATATTCTCTATACGGAAGAAATGAATGCTTAGATGAAGTCTGAACAGTTACTGTGTTGAATTATACTCGTAAGAAGGCACACAAAACCTGAAATTGTGAATATGACTCTGATACCATATGTCACTCATTTCCCATTGGAAGGGGCAAGGAAGGAGCCTGGCTGCTTTAGAACAGGAAAATAATAGTAACCAGCAACTTAAACTGAAATTTCTAAACCCAAAAGTTATTCTCAGTGCTTGGAGTACTGCAAGTGTTAAGAAAAAAAGTAGAAAATCACCATGATAGTGTAAGAAAACAGAATCACTCAATTTTGCAGGTGGGAGAGATTCCTGACAATTAGGGGAAACCAAACGCAAGCAACTTCTTCAAAGCAACGCTGAGCTAACCTCCTAGGGAAGCTAACAAGCTAAATGTTAAACCCCAAAGAAGTAAACAGACTGCCCCAGAGAGAACTCCACTTCCCCAGATTACAGATTTTACCTGATGGTAAATGCTTATTTCCCCTCCAAATTACTAAATTCATCTGATGGCAGACCCATTTTAAATGTAGCACATACAGAAGTTCATCAATACCAAAACTATGTTTGCTTGACAAACACCAAAGAGTATTCTTGCTTTTAACATGTCAAAAATAAGTTTGTAGGAAACTGAAAAATACACTAATGTGATTAAGAGATTTCTAGTAATTATTGAAGTCTTTTTGTTTGTTTGGCCAGTCTTCGCGAGCGAAGATTTGGGAAAGGTCATTAACCCTTCGAGCTGCGCAGTGGATTTTTTAGGTGAGACACAGCGTGCGCTGAACTGAGCCCACCCTTTAATCCTGAGGTTCATCTGCCGGGGCCGAGCAAGCTCAGACAGTGGCAGTGAGGGTCTCAGAACGTAGGTTTGTTTAAAGTGACCTTCTCTTAGATGGATGGCCTTACAGGGCTGACGAGCTCCATCTGCCCGGGGGACTTTTACCCTGACCGGGATCCGAACCCGGGTCGCAGCGGTGAGAGTGCTGCATCCTAACCACTAGACCACCAGGGGTCCCCAGTTATTGAAGTAATAAATATAGCTATACAGTGAAGATTCATCTTCATAACAAAAAAAAAAAAACCTTTTCAGCTTCTCTGTTGTGAAGTCTGAAGATTCTGCAAGCAAGACACTGCGTGTCACTGCAGAGAGTGATCAGTAAATCTTTATTCTCAGTTTTCCAACTCTAACATGAAAGAAAAACGACACTTCACTGATGTTTACACATAACAGTATGGCATATACCAATAAAAACAGAGAAGTGAAGAAAAGGTAGTGGCTTCCCAAAAGCTGAGCTTTACCAGTAGAAACAAAACACAAAAGCTGATTCTCCCCCTGTCCCGAGTTTACTTAAGTGTACACCCCCAAAGCTTCACAGTCCCTGTCAAATCCTCCAAAAAGATGAAGCAAAATTCACAATACTACATTAATATAATGTAATGGAGTGGAAGACAGGAAATGCAATGGGGACTAAAAAAGCACAAAGAACACTATTTATAAAAAATTCCACATCCAAAGCAAACTGAAATAAGCTAAAAAAAAAAATAAATTCTTGTATTTAAAGAGTCTAAGCTTCAATTCAGCCATTTATCTTATGCTTGAGAAAAAAATGTGTTTTTTTCCAACAGTATTTTCCACTTTAGTTGAAGGGAAAAAAAATTGTGTTGGCTATCTTCAACAATGATTGATCTTATGAATCTTTATCTCAAATTGTCTAAGTTAAGGGTTTGGGCAAGTGACATTGTTATGGCAGACAAACAACTATCATTAGAGTCACCTTGCTTGACTTCACAGGCTTTTAGGAAAGTAAGGGATAATTAAGCTTTTAATCTCTTTCCACCTTCAGTCACAGTAGCAAGTTGCAGTGGAAACTACCAATAGCATTTAAGCCTTTGACCACAGACTACAGCACACAGGTTTTATGGGTTTTAAACTGTCTAAATAAAGAATTAGCTATTTCATCTATAGCCATTAAGATATCATTTTCCTGAGGCAGTAGCTCTCCCATTAGTGGTTAATTCACCTGTTTCTCCTCCAGACAAAAGTAAACCCCTATCTTCATTGCTAGCCCTCCCCTACTCACTCCCACTCCCCTCATGTGAGTGAACAGTGCCTAACATCCAGTTAGGAGAAGATGGAGTGCTATTTTCTTAATACTACAAATGATACTCTTTGTGCTTATTCAGCAGGGCCCAATTAAAACACAGAATACTCTCAATGTAGTAGGTCATAATTTTTTTTTAAATATTGTTTTATATTTTCAAGCACACGTTTTTCCTTTGTAAGCAGACTTTTTAGCTACCAACACTCATTAAACAACGCAGAGTAGAAGACAAAAATTATAGAGGAGATGTTAAGGTTTGTTGGGGGTTTTTTCTCGTTTTGGTGGGTTTTTTTAATTTGAGTTAACTAAATTATTCTAAAAGGATACAATCTTCAAATTCATGTTTGTTCTATTTTTAAAGCAAAACTAGTTAGTCCTACACAAGTTAATGGGAGTTTACCCCTGCATGACAGACACAATTTATATTCTTTTGGGGAAAAATTAATTTCCTTATTTTCTTAAAGCTAATTTTCTTATAACACAGCAAAGCTACACATACCATCCTTCTGCTCTACTTCTTCTGCTCGTGAAGCACATGGAGAACTCTGGAGTACAGAATTCACATTTTCCTTTGTGCCTTTTGGAGACAAAGGTTCTTGTTTAACTTGTACTGAGGAGTCAGGAGCATCGGCAGGTGTGCTGCCAGAAGACTGGAATGGTGATGGCATGTTTACATGAACAGAAGATCCTAGTGGAGGTACAGAAGAATACAAAGGGTCCAAAAGGGGCTGGAGAGGGCCTGCAGGAATTAAGTCAGCTGCCATCTGAGATTTGCTGTTTCTTCTCTCACTTAAGACACTGCAGGGAAGTTGCTCTGGGAGTTCAGAAGGTTCATAGGTTTCTAATGTCAAGAGACAAAATAAATAAATAAAAAACCCAAATAGAACAAAAATGTTCATATTTTACAATAAAATTTACTTGTGCCAAGAGCTCATTTCTTGCAGACACACAGTCAAGGAAGAGAAAAATTTGACAAAAAGCCACTAGATGGCACTACCAAAATTGACAGATCACACTTAAAATGAAGACCTCATTTTGAAAGTCTACAATTTTATTGCACAGTTAAAAGGAGCAGATTCAAGAATATGAGAGTCAGCATTCTGTTGTAGTTTTTTATGGTGTCTTGTACCTTGTAGCCCCTGTAAGATCTCGATTCTCTGACTTCTCAGCGTGCTCATTTCCATTGTTATCTGCAAAACAGTTGTGGTTTGTATCAGTTCTACTGATTTAACAGGCAGTTTTTCAGGCTGCTTACTTGTAGTTCAGACAGTTTCAAAAGCCCACTGTTACCTGTTGCTTTAATACAAGGAACCGTTGAACCTCGACATATGCAGCCTGCAGGGCAGCCCTAGCCTGCAAGAGACTGGTGTCCACACTCTGCAGGGACTTGCTTAATTCTTCTTCTCTCAGCGAAATAGCCAACAACTGGTCTACCTGAGAACGTTCTGAGAAAGAAACACAATGTAGAGTGATTGTACTGAACAGTACATTAAGATACATTACACATGATACCACAATAAATACTAACACATCAAAATGTAAAAATCACATAAATTAGGCCAAGCATTAATAATCACACAAGAAGCTGAAACAGAGTATTTATGCACAGGAATAGCCATGTCTACATGGAAGAAGAGCACAATCGAGTATTCCTCTTTACAGGATCTCCACTTTGACTCTAGTAACTATTTCCATCAAAGTTTTGCCAGCAATGATTTAGTTTAGCTAAACAAAGTAAATCTCTTCCGCAAAGATCTTTTCTTGAAGTACATGTGTACATGAAATACAAATATACACTTGCCATTAACATAATCAAAAGGCAAAGGCAAATTCAAGCTAAACAAGATAAATTACTCAGTTAATTCAGAAGTCAAGGAAAGGCTGCTTAAGAGAAAAAGAACCCAACAATAAAAAAATAGCTTACTATTCAGGATCATTTGGGGCCATAAGACTCATGTTTGCAATCTCTTCAGAAAGAGTCTCTGAGCACTGTACTCAGTTAAAGCTCCTTCTATACAACTTCCTAAAGACCTAAAGCATTACAGATATTCTCTAAACAAATTGAATTTCAGTTTGGTCACTGTCTAGTTGCAGACTTAAAGCCAACTACACATGATGTTAAAGCAAACTAATGGGAAATAGAGATTTTACTAAGTACAATGTGTTATTAGTCTCTATAATAGATGCTAGTCGTTGAAGACAGAGGTTTATAAACAACCCCACCTTTTCAAGTAGTGAAACACTAGTTCCCACAAGAAAATCCACATTAATTGCTCTGCATTCCAAACAACTGTTAATATCAATAAATAAATAACAAAAGGAAGAAAAATGGAACATCTAAAAGCCATCTTCTGGACCCCAAAGCTCCCAGATGGTGTTGCAACGATTTAGTTCCCAAAGAAATATTTGGCCTAAAAGACAGATGGTTCATTTTGATATATGATGATGCAGATGTGTTAGGCATGATTGAGAAAGATCTGTCTAATGCCAGAATAAGAGTTTTCTTTGGTCAGAAGCAGGAAGGACCTAGGCATTCTACATTCATTTCCATTAAGAACAGGGAAGGAGGAGTAAAATTAGAAACTGTTGCCAGAAATGTCAAAAACAGAACACAGAGAAAATTATACAGAGTACAAATTTTCTGGTATTACCACCCAGAATTGGAAAGGGAAACGTGCATAGCAAATTAGAAGGGAGCGATGGGTGCTTCTCCCTTCAGAACTTCCATCTAAAGAGGCAACAAACCTCACTTCTCTGAGCAGGGTAAAGCAAAGGTCCCATCTGCACAACCAGGAACATGAACTGCAGGCAGAAACGATGCACATAGGCTTTTCTTAGAAACAACTTCTGACAAATAAAGATACAAGTCCACAAAGAAGAACGTGTTGCAGACTTGTGAGCAGTTTACCCTAGAACCTTCATTAAGTGCCCAAGAAGCATCAAAGTAACATTAAGGAACTAGTACTTTAGCCAAGACAAAATACTGCTGGGTGTTTTAACCTCTACACCAGATGCATACATATATGAGATATTCACTCACCTCTTTTACCTTTGATTTTTCTTCTCTTATTCTTTCTTTCTAGACTAGGGATTTCAGGAGATGATCCCTCCTGCAAGTAAAATCATATATTAACAAGTTACAAGAACAATTTTGTCTAAATCAAAAAGTCAAATATCCATTGTCTTTTCAACCATTACTTGTACCCACAGAGAAGAGCACACAATTTATTTTCCACATTCTTGTATAACTCATCCTTTGCTCTGCTTGTAAAAGAGGGAGGACAACAAAATGAGTGCCACATTTTCATCTCAAGTAGGAAGAAATATTAAATAAGACGATAGCCTTCTCATTCAAATGCATAAGACCACACCTGAGTCAGATTTTTTGCTCTACAGTTTTAGTTGAGGATTAAACAGTGAGGAATTAAAATTATTGTTTTCTGCATATAGCAAAGCCATTTTGAGAATTTGATCAGAAACATTTTTTTTACCCTTGGATAAGTCCAAGACAGGACTGCGAAATAAATTTAGATTTAAGAATATTATTTTAAGTATATAATTTCATAAAAAGGTTTGTCTTTCCTTGTTTAACCACAAAATCAGGACCACCTAAGGAAAGCAAATTTCTACTACAACCTAGCTTCCATTTAAATTGGGAAACATGGAGATTATTGCTACAAAACCAAGTAGTTCCACAGAAATATTTTAACAGCTCTTGTTTACCAACATAGAGTGCCAGGTACCAAATCAAATAAAGAACATTTGTCATTCCTACTAATTAAAAAATATCAGAAGTCCTGCACTAGGAAGCAGAATGGAAAAAATTCTTAAAGAAAATTAAGTCAAACAAGCAAATTAGCTTGTTGTTATCAATGTACAAGGCAATGAAATGAAGAAAGTCCTCCTTGCAAAGACCATTCCAAGGCTGGATGACCATTAAAAAGGAAAATAAATCTTTAGGGCACCAAAGCTGGACAGAATTGCACACTTACTCCAGTTGCTCTCCGCTTCTTTCCAAGTCCTTGGCTGTCATTCTGTTCAGTTCCAGATGTGCAGCTACTATCTGTAGCTGCATCTATGTTATTAGACACTGCAAGAAGTGAAGTACTATTTGAAGCTGGACGATTCTCTTCTGAGATCTCCAGTACATTTTGTTTTTCAAGAAGAGTTGTTCTCTTCTCTGGGCTCTCCTGGTCTTGTTTTGTGAGGCCTGTGATCTCAGAGGCAGCCTCTAGGCTGTGACTTCTTCCAGTAGTCTCAGTTCTTTCAGACATAAAAGGTGACAAAGTAAGAGATGATGCTTCTGTCTCCTGTTTCTGGTCAGCCTCAATGTCAGTGCTTGCCTCATATCCAGATGTTATGTGATGTGAGTGGCTGGCTGCAATTATTTGCCTTTGCCCACTTTCTTTTATTTTGGCTTGTTCACTGAAAAAGCTGTAAGCAGAAGGATTTCTGTCTGCTATGACACTGCTTTCAGAAAAGCTACGTTTTCTGGCTGAGCCAGACACTGCTAAGGAAATCCCTTCCCACTGGAATCCTTCCAGAGTAGACAGATCAGAATCTTCACTGAGTTCTAGACCCTCTTGCTCATTTTGAACAAGAGGCACCATTTCTATGCCAAACCTTTAACAAGAGAAAAAGAAAAATAAATACACACGTTACAAGCCAGCTAAATATAGAGAGAAGCTTTTCCCTCCCCCAAATGCACAGTAGTGCATTAAGAGATCTGGCAAGTCATTACACTGGTATTCTGTGCTTTCTACCTCATCTGGCAATGGAATAGCTTTTGCATATCACATAACCAGATTTAGTGGCTAAGAACTGACAGCATGATTTTCAAGTCAGAAATCATGTTGTTACAATTATTCCAAACCAGTTTTGTGCCTATTCAAGGTGCTTCAAAAAACTTCAGGTTTAAAGAAACTTTCAAAAATGCAGTATTATGTAAATGCTTCCTCTAAATACAAAAGCAAACTGTGTATCAAAATAAAAGATTAACAAATGAAAAGGGAGCATTTATACTGCCTGGAGCAATGCAAGCATTTCTTGTAGTTCTGAATAAAAAATGAAATAAGCAGCATTGCTCCCATCCTGATGGCATTTTTACATTCTTCCAATTACCAGAACTGGAAAAATACACATATTGTTACCATCCATATTCAGACATTAAAGTAACCATTATGAACTGATCAGAATGTATTAATCAGATTACTATTACTTACCTATGGATAGACGTTCACAGCAGCAATGATGAAAACACTATATTACTCGTATATGCAAAAGATCACGGTATAGCAAGCTTCATTATGAAGTCTTAGTTATAAGATTTTGGAGTTCATTTCAGATATGGAGAAAAATAACCCTCCCCCCATAACATGGCCAGAGAGGAATGGTAGAGGAAAGCTACCAACCTTGGTAAACCTTTGCCAAGTTCCTGTTTCTTCTTGGTTACCTGCTGGATGACCTGATCCCAGTTTACATTTCGCCGGGAAGCACTAAGAATCTGCCTGAGGGTGGGTTTAAGCCCCGACTCCTTCTCTGCCTCACTTCTCCGATGGCCACTCACATTCCGAATGCGCCGTGCATTATTGAGATTGGGCTCTGGGAGATGTGTCCCAACTTTGCTCTTCAGACTAATATGCCGTGTCAGATCTCGTTGCAGAGAAGCAGGGAGGCCAAATTTGCTTAAATCAGGAAGAAGGCCTCCTGACTGGCTTCCTCCTTTTTGAAGTTCATTATCTGAAGGATTTTCAAAACCTTCCATTTCAAATTGATCATGTGACTTGACATACTCTTCATTCCCTTCTCCATCCTGCGAGGTTTTCAAATCCACATGCAAACCATCCTGACTGCTTGATGGAGAAACCGTGGATTCTATCCGAAATGTAAAATTTTTTAGTTCAGCAGAAGTAATACTTGAAGCAGCTAGCTTTTCATCATCTTTCTTTTCAGAGGTGGCAAGTCTACCTTCAGGAGTGTCACAGGGTAAACAAGACCTAACAGAAGAACCCAACTTGTCAACACTTGCTTCTGACTTCTCACTTCCCATTAAATCATCACCGCTCACATCTTCTAATGAATCTAGTCTGAACTCCTTCTTTGGCAATGCTTTCCCAGTTTCTTCCCTATTCTGGTCACTTGTATCCTTGCAAGAGCTTAAGGGAGCATTTTGCAAGGAATGGTTGGACTGAACATCTTCAGATTTTTGTTCTGCTTCACTTAAGTTATTAACAGGCTCTCCAAGATTGCTACCAAGCACATCTTTGTTGTCATGTAAGTTACCAGCACAAGCACCACGCAGCTTTGATGAATAAGAGGAGAAACCGTTTGTTTCCAAGTTCACTGCATTCAAATGATTCTGCTCTTCACTACCAGTTGAGGATAAAAGAAGCTTGACATTTTTTAAGAGACTGTTTGTGTCTTGCTTTGTCAAGGATAACTTTGTATCTGTGATATTCAGAAGAGGGGATTTCAGTGATGGCATCTTATTACTTCCGCTATCATCTTTGTTAGGCTTTTCACCACTGGAACAGTCTTTAATTTCCTGGCAAGAATCAAGGTGATCTGAGGTTACATTAGAAGAGGAAGATGTTTCCTGTTTTTTAAGTTTTGAAAGGCTAACACTGACTTCACAAGTTTTTCCTTTCATTGATGAATCAGTAGAAGCCATAAGTACAGAATCCATTTTATCCGGAGTTTTAGAAACATTATCTTCAGACCATGGTTGCTGCTCTGCAGCTTTCTGTGATGGGTAGGGAGTCCAGCGATATGTTTTATCTCTGGAAGGACTGACGCTTTTTCCACTGGCTCTTGGAGTTTTGCTTTCTGGTTGCTTTGACATACCAAAATCCAACGCCCCCTCAGAAGGAAGCTTATCGCTAGTAAAATCGAGCAAGTCACTCCTATTTCTTCGATTCCTGTATAGCAGAACATCCTCTTTCTCTGGTCGCTGCCATGTATACCTTTCCTTATTGTATTTAATTGGCTCTGATGAATAGGACTCACCTGAGCTTCCAAAATTCCAGCCATTTGCACCATGAGGACTCGGTTTCCAGTTTCCTCCATAACTCTTGGAATTCCAGCTAGAAAAATGACCTGTTTCTTCCGAGTGCCAAGTAGAACTTCTTTCTCTGGCACTGTGATGCCAATTTGATGTTCCTCCTCCTCGCCCACCTGGATGCCGAACACTTCCAGAATTCCCATAGTTATGCCAATTTGAAGAGCTTCCTGAAACATTCTGGTGCCACCCAGAGCGCCCCCTTGGGCCACCTGAATGTCTGTTTATATTGAGGTTCCTCTGAGAGTGTGAAAATTTGCCTTGTCTAGGACTGATATAATCATCCTTTTCCCACTTCCAGTCCCTTTGCGATGCATTATGATGATGCCACGATGACTGATCATAAGCTTCTCTTTCTTTGTAAGTAGCTCTTTCTTCTCTCCTTCTCTGTGATCTTCTGTCATCACATTCTAATTCTTGGTTTGCACAGCTTTGTTCAGCTTGCCTGCAAAACAATTGAGAAAAACCTAAACTCTGATGCTATTATACTGAAATCCAACAGCCCACAACCCTTATGCATTTTATTTGCACTGGGAAGAAAATATTTTTTTATTATTCATTATAAAAAGAGAGATGACATATTGAGCTGCTTTGCTGTTTAGGCCTCTGTGGTGTTTGACTTTCCAAACTAATGTTGTACCTTTACTTAAATACGGTAATTTCAAAATTGCTCTTACAAGACCAACTGATTTAGCACAGGGACAGTTCAATAGACTAATTCTTAAATACTTCTCTTTACCTTGAAAGATAATAGTCCTTTCTATTTACTAGTTATCGGACTAATAAGAAAATAATAAAAAAAAGCTTCTTCATGTTGTATAATCTTTGCAAGTTGAACAATCTTGATAGATGAAAAATTCATTAGCAGTGAGATAATTATTTTTTCTGAAGACTATTATGCTTGTGTTAGATGGTGTAACTAGAGTGAACTGAACAGAAAAAAAGCTAGGCTGGAAAATCAGTTATTCTACCCACTGGATACAACAACTGAGATGATGGCTCAGTTTATAAAGTTTAAGTTAAAACACAAATATAAAACATCCACAAAAGTTGCTCCTGAGATATAAAAATATTTTGTCCTGTTTTAACCAACAGTCTGTATGAGCAACGAGCCTGTATGAGCCTTGCAGCAGCACTATCTCCTGCCATTTGGATAGTACTTGTGCTTGGCAACTTACCATGAACACATGGCAAACTATCACATGTGCATTTAAAGACAAATGCTACCTTCATAGTGACAGTTATTCTCAGGGTCAGCAGTCTAAATGTTCAAAGTATTTATTCTACCAAACGAGGAGTTTTTAATCAAAAGTTTTTTTCAGAAACTGATTACAGAAATGTTTCATTCTGACATTACAGGAATACTTCCATTCTAGATCCCTGGACAAGAAAGAAAACTTTCACACCACTGCCCAAAAACTATTGATTTGAGTAAACTCAAAATTCATATTGCATCATCCTTTACGTTTTCAATACATTCTGGTTCTGCTAAAAGATTACTAAATAACTACTCTCTAATGGGAATTGGTCTACTGTGTAAAATAATCTGAGCTCTAAGACAAAAAACGATGTTTAAGTGACACAGTAAATTTTAAGAGCTGACTCAACTAGATTATGATCTAATGGAAACAATTTTGCTGAATTAGTAACTTAATCCCTGTTTCTCCCCCTTCTCCAAAGAGCACCCAGCAGACAGATTTTCTAAGATTTTAGTTGCCTCAGAACAACACTGTACTGACAGCATTGCTCCTTTACCATAAAACCAGGAAAAGTGACATTTTTGCTATCTACATTGACCAATATGAAAACATTACCATTGTGCAGTACAGAGACAAACTAGAATGATAGAGTGGTGTCAAAACCAAATAATCTCAACAGATTTCAACATCTGGAAACACTAATTCAAATTTCTAGCCACAGCAAGCAAGAGCTTCTTTCAAAAGTCATACGCCCCTTTAATACCATTGCCATGCCATAAACCTACTCAAATAATATATTCCCAACTGGAACATCATACAAGCAATGCACATGTGCAGAGCCATGTGGAAAATAAAAGGCAACACTTACTAGTCTCTGCAGCCTTCTATTTCATAGTGAGCCAATAGACTATGTTTAACTCATGGTAAGCAGCAAGGTAAAACAGGTAAGAAATTTCATGCAAGGATTATGGGAACTCACTGTGACATTGACAAACCAATCCAATTAATTTTAAAAATAGACAGATTAATGTTTTATAACAAAACATGTTCAGCAACAGTTTCTAAAAGGCATCCTCCACCCTAAACAATATTAGCATTACTGTCACATTTATTAAACCTTTCAGTCAAAAGGGTGTAAAATATTAAAATAAAAACATTAGGGCTCTCAAAACACAAGATACAACACTGGGGACTCTTTTTACCCATAATGGAAAATACTGGTACTTCTTTACTACTAGTAGCTCAACAGAACAAGAACATTCAGCAGAATCTTATTTACACATTTAAACTATGATATCCACACAGGTCTCTTGGATTGTTCTCACAACAAGTACACTGGCTACAGGCAGTTTACATTTCATGAACACCTAAGCCTTAGAGTGTATTTCACTGTGTTAAAAGCAATTCTGTACCTAAGAGGAGAAAGGAAAACTCACCGTTCCTTCTTTTGCTTGATTAGTTGAATGAGTTCTTTGTCAAGGTATTCTTCTTCTGCCTCTTCTTTCTCTTCCTCTTTTCTGTCATGGGCATTAACATTGTCTTTGTGCAACTGGCTGGAGATGTGCTTGGCATATGATGACAAACCCACCAATGTCACCCTGCACACCCGGCATTCATGGTTGCTTTCCCTAGGAAGAGAGGCAGAGGGTGGACTTTCAACTCTCCCAACAGGCATGGCAGGCACCTCTGGTCTTACTTTGTTTCCTCTGAATGTCCTTGAGTTCACGGTAACTAGGTTTTGTTCAGTGTATTTAAGTTACTTGAATTCTCTAGCTTTTTCTTTCAAGGTTTAGTTTTTTGATGGTCAATTTTTAAAAGATTTTTTTTCCAACAATCAAGAGGTAAGAGACTTGGTAATAAAGCTGCGTTAACTGGGAGGAGGAATTCTTCTTGAATTGTTGTACTCAAAATCTTTTCAGAGGAAACATAGTGAGCGAGGAGGCAGAGTGGAAGGCTTACAGAGCTAGCAGGAGCTCTGAAGCCCTTCCATGGTGCCAACTGCACTGGGGAAGCCTGGTGACAGCATCTACATTTAATCCTTGCCCTGAGCCTTCCCCCAGTGAAATTTAGAAAAGGGAGGAGGCAGTACATGGATACAGCCAATCCTGATACAACATAACCTAAACTGGGACAGCTGAGACTGCTGCCTGGAATCCAAAGACTCCACAGCACACTGAGTGATAGGAGGGTGTCTTCAGTTCACTGTACTTTATTTGGTTCAAGTGTGCATGAAGTCTACTTTCTACTTTAGAGGACTTATCTTAAAAAATACAGAAATTATTTCAGCTGGAGAAAGTTGACAGCTGTGTCAGACAAATGGCTTTACTCATATTTCAGTGAATACTGGATTAAGGTTACAAGATTTTTTTACTTTTTTTCTTTTTAAGAAATTCATATTTCTAAAAATACCATATTTGTTCTTCAGACAAATGCTTTCAATACTCCAGTGTTAAGGAAATACGTTGCTAATAAGAAACCTAAACAAGGAAAATATGTTCACTAGGTAAAAAAAAAATAAAAATCAGAAAAAAATTAACCAGAGCATAGTCCACTGCAAATAACTCAGCAGGACCAAGTTAGGACTCACTGAGTGCGTCCACAATACTTTTTTCAATTCTGCCAGCTAATAAAAGCAGATCTGCATGTCCCCATGGCACACTTGAGACCAAATTCTTAGAATGGAAGTTTAATACCAACACACAGTTCATGACTGAGGTCAAGAAAGTAGGATCCATAAAGGAAAAAGACAAATGTCTTTTTGAATCCTCATTTTTTCTAGGTAACAGTTAAAAATAAAATGAGAAAAAGATGAAAAGATGCACCTTCACTCAAGATATTAAGGCAACACCCTTATCAGAGTGGTTAATGAAGTGTCAGCAGCTATGTTTTATTTATCAAGGATATCAGTAGTTTTCCTACTAATGTAGTTGAGATATTTAACCAATGCAGTCATTCACACACAGGTAGAAAGGATTTAATTTTAAACAGACTAAATATTAAAAATTAGAATTTTTATATTTAATTATTTTGTATATTGCAGCCCAACTAATTTCAGATTAAACATCTGGATAAATTTTTTTTACAAGGTCAGTAGCTTCCAAATTTAGTCTGTATTTTCCAGAGTTGGGTGTACTTCATTTTGCACACTTCACACTCACTAATAAATATTCAAAGCCCAAATACTATATATTTTACTTTGGGCTATCTCATTAATCCAACAGAGATAACCAAACCACTAAATTTACTAATGCTATTGGAAGAACCCTCTCCACACTCATAAATAGCACAGCTATGCATAGCTAGTAAGTCTTATTTTTAACTTATGTCAGCACACAAAGCTGAAAACTATATTCTTTTTACATAATTTCAAACAGGACACTTCAACAAGAAACATACCCCAGTGGTACTAATTAGGTTTTAGAGAACAATCCACATCCTTCATAAGATCAATGGTTCAATTCTTCCATAAAATTTTTATCATCTTCATTTATAGACTAACTAAATAAATGCAAAGTTGTATTTACTTTGGACAAAGCCAGTGATTTAGCAGCTGGCCTGAGGACAAAGAACTTGTTTCTATCACTTCTAACTTGAGAGTTACTAATTACAAAGCTGTAGTTCTTGTACCAACTGACAGTCTGAAGACTCAGGTGGCTAGTGACTAGACTTCTCTGACTGCTGTTAATCTACATGAGCCCAAAGAAAAAACAACACTATTTTTTTCTATATGAACAACTGCTTTAATTGAAAATGAATTGGCTAGGAGTTCACTTAAGGAAATTTATTTTTCCTTCAGTTCTTTTCTTTCCTTATCCTCATTAATACCAGCCAGAATTAGCACACTCCATGACACACACTGATCATGTCTACACATTCCCCTACCGTATGGGAACACCACATAATCTTAGTTGTTCAACAAGGCAGCCAAAAGAAGTTTGAGGTAAACATGACAGAAGTATTCTCAATATAAAAGCAGCCAAGAGCTTTATTTACTAGATGTGTACTTCAGATTGTAGACTCAATGTTCCTCATACAGCTACTTAGTTGAAAAGAATATACAACAAAACCAAAAAAACCCCAGATAATTTTGTTTCCTTCTCTGCCATGCCCCACACAATGGGGTCTTGGGAGCTAGACATGTTCTGCAGATGTGGCTGGGATCAAGTGCATCATGCCAGTTGAGATCTGTTCTGTTGAGCATGAAAGGGATTTCTTCTGTTAATGAACAGCTGGGGTGGGGTTGCTCCAAAACCAGAATGCTCTCTGCACTAGAAGCTTTTTGGCTTCTGGTTAGCTAACTTGTAGAGCATTTCTGTTCTTCTAACAATTATTTTGAGATCAGTTGAAAATTTCACTTATTTTGGCATCTTATCTCTGGTGAACAGAAGGAGTCTACCTTCCCGGGGTATAAGACACATGTCATGACACGATGAATCTTCCACACCTCTAAGAGTTAAAAAGAGGATTACTTCTTAGTCCTTTAAAAGACATTTAAAAGAGATTTGCCATTTCCATATAAAGTTTGTGCTGCAAGATGATTAAAAATTAGATCTGTAGATCAAATACTTAGGTATTTGATAGTTTTTAATTATCTCTGGCTATGTCAAAATCCACATACCTGAAAATGCCTTTAAGTATACTCTGGTTGCAACTTGATTCCATATTATTAGGATGATATTTAAATATCCCTTAACCAGAAAGAAAACACCATCCACCATGGTAAAATCCCTTAACCACACAACTGGACCGGGACAGCAAGCGACAAGGCAGTCACTCAAGCAGATATCAGTCTTCTCACAGTACTTTAAAAGATTAACATCTGTTTCTACATCATTGAAAACTTAAAAAATCCCAAAACATTTTAAAAAGGAAAACATCAGTGTTGATGATTCTGCCAAAGGCAGAATTCTAGTGCTTCCAAGAAACCAAGCATGAAACTGCCTAGAATAAAGTAATTTTATTTCACTGCAGTCCAAGAAATGCAGATGAGTTTTTCTGTTTGCCTCCTGAGTTCCTGGCATTAAGAGAACATGTTCATTGCCAGCTTTATGACAAGGCATCCTATCAAGTGATACATAAAAATAAATTGTGCAATTCTGCTTGTATGGGAAATACGTCATGAGCTCTTCCAGAGAGTGACATACTAAATGCACGGAGAGGAAGGATGCAAGATTGTTCTCATACCTTCCCTTCAAGTTTTCAAGTTCTCTGTGGTGAAGCATGCTTCTCATGTGTTCTTCCATCTCCTTCAACATGGGAAAAAAAATAAAATTGGTCAAAACAAAACGGTAATATTGTACGTGAAAAGCTCACTTTTGAGAACTCTCCTGCTTTGCACAAAGGTGTGCTCCACTCCTATAGGGCTGTAGCAGTTGCCATTCCTGTTTCTGTGACTGTGAAAGCACCAGTAGGCATGCTTTCAGGAAGTTTACGTCACCTTCCTGCGGAAGGACACACAGGAATCCTTAACATTCAACACACGGAAAGCAGAATTCCAGAAGAAAGATGAATAACAGTGCATGTAGTAAAGCTTATTAGATTAATTTTTTACAAATTACTGTTGACAGTCATTTTAATTAAAAGTCTTATTGATACCACTCTTCAGAATCACGACACTTAAAACAGTTTTCCCGGGCAATCTGAGCAATTTCTCTGCATTTGTGTAATAATATAGCTGCAATTTCATCATCACATACTATTTTGCTCTGCTAGATGCACTTCAGAAACTGAGATGTCAGTTTGTTGTTTACAGCAACCTTGATCCATGAATTGCAGTGCTGCTATAATTAATTCCTGAAAGGGAGCTGCTGGAAGAGCAAGAACATTCATCACTCAGGAAAAACAAGCAGTTCAGAACATTTAACTTTCTTTTGGTGTTTGACTCAAAGTGTTTGGAAATCTTCAAAGAACAGATACTTATCACTGTCCTTCTTAGCCCTTGAAATCCCATATTCAAAGGGAAAGGAACATCTTCAACCTTGAAGACTTGTGTGAATTAACACACTGGCATTTGTAACATCTCCACATGCCATGTAGCTAAGCAATACATGAAGGTCCGCTAAGAGACACTCAGTTTCAACACAGACTTTGCATAATATGCAGTACACAGAAGATGCACACCAAACTGATCCATTAATAAAAATACATGTTGTGCTATACAATTTCACTTTGTCCTTTCATATGGAAACACAGACTTCTCAAAGGGAATTAAATTGTGTATTACAGTATTCTTAACACATCACAATTCACAGCAAAATGACTGTGTTTTTCACTTTAGTATCGTTATAAAATAATATAAAAAACTCTAAGACCTCATCATTTCTAGCATTCAGAAGCAAGCACATTCACAGCTTATTTCAAGAAAGATACTCCAAAGCACATGCAAAAACATTCTTCGCAATAGACCTAGAGCAATATATACTTAGTAGATGGGAACTGCACTTCGCACAATTTTACAATGGAAGCATTTCTCATACACGTTTCATATTAGTATTTACCAATACATGTAAACCATTGATTATTTACCTTTTTTGAGTTGTACACAATGTGACATAATACACATGTTCGTTGCCGAACCATGCTTATTACTCTGGAAAGATCTTATCCCATACCTGCAAATAAAAATAATACAAAAATAAGCAACGTTAAGGATGACTTTTTCATTAATCCATTTTACTAAGGAAAGTAAAAAAAGTTACTATTCATGAAAACACCTGTGCTGAGCTTAAGAAAATACATGCCTCTCATGCATAGTCAATATTCTTCAAAAAAGATAAGGTAGTTTTGAATAGTCATCTAAAACATCTATAACAAAAAGTAGCTTTCCATTTCTTTCATTTTGTTCCTTGTCCTCCAAGACAGAGCTCTCATTCTACAAGCAGAGATCCGTAGGAATCCTCTCAACTACTCAGATTAACAAAGCACTCTTCCACTAGGATGATGACAAGGAGAGAGGAACTGGGGAAACCAAGCAGGGCAAACTCAGATCTTTATTTTGGTACAGAGGAGGGCTCAAGGAAGATATTTAAGGAAAATGAAACTAAGGCCATTCATGATATCAAAGACCACCAGCCTTCAAGGCTTATCAATCCATTTATTCATAAAACCTAACATGATTTAATTTCGTATTTTTCTCATTAGCCTCTGTAAGAACTATGCATTATCATGTACTGAAATACTGATTTAGACAGCATTTTAAGATACATTCTCTAACACCATGCTCTGCTTGGGTACCATATGTGTTTGAATCATTAATAAAACCTATTAATTTTCCCAAGAGTAGAAGATTATTCAAAACTGTGCACCAGAATATTAAGCATTTTAACACTGATCTACTTAAGACTTGCATATATGCAAACGAAAGCAGCAGCAGGTCAAATTAAATGTTGTATGTATTTTATCATAATGTTTAACTCATCAGGAGAGCAACTAAATTAGAGAGGTACATAACTGTCTAAGTTATAATACGAAGCCAGGCATGCCCGTTTAAGGAACAGGGTATAATCTTTTCCCTTTTCTTTCTCTTAAAATATACTAAAATGCAGAATGATTGAGCATTACTGTCAATTTTTATTGACATGGCAGAGGCAGTTCCTCACCCTAAACTGGAAACAAATGTACCTTTTTCCTACTACACAAAAATACAAATCCTCTTAAGTTTTGCTATCTCATAGTAGGCAACTTCAGAGTTAACTTAGCTAATACTATCAAACTTAAACTGCAAGAGCCTTCATCAATAACTCTTCTCCACAGCTGACCCTACAAAGTTAGTTCTTATTTAACACTGACCTTCTGTATCAGGGGCATTAAAACCTCCAGATCACTAGAAGCTGTGAGCAAAGGGCAAGAACTGGATTTTTACCAAATCCAGATTACCTAGAATTAAAGCAGCTCTGACATTCAGTGGTACCGTCCGACTGCAAACAAACAAAAATCAGCAAGTAAAACCACACCCCTCTAAGTCCAAATTGTAATTCTTTGACAAGTAACTTTTTACCTCCAGATGTGCATGGCCATTTACAGTTAAGGTTTGCACCAGCATCTGTCCAGTTTAAAGGGGAAGGAACTGAGAGGTGCAATAGCCTTTGCACCTTTAGACAACATAGAGTTTCCTCCCTAAAAAAAATCTGCATCATCATACCAAAACAAACACACTTAAAATACAACAGGAGATTCAATCATCTCATGTTCCCTAACCACCATTCTTGACCTCAGTGAAATACATGATAGTGTTTAAATATGCACTTTTTAGCTTCATCACATTGGCAACTGATGTATTTGAATCATTAGTAACAGTCATTTATTTTGACAAATCACCCCCAAAAATGTATAAGATTATTCAGAAGATTATCAGCCTAGACCATATAGAACATTAGTATAAATTCATTTGGTATCAGTGATATGCATGCAAAAGCACCTGCCTTCATGGAAAGTCAGGACACAGAAGTACCCTGTTTTGGAACAAATTATTTTAAAAGCACATATAAAGAGCATAACTTGGTTTTAAACATGTTCAGCTGAGACAGCAGTTAAGGAAAGTTAAAGCTAATAAGTAAGAGAAAATGAGGTATTGAGGCCTCATGATTTTCCATTAAGTTATTAGGCAAGCATAGCAGCACATCATCAGCATACTGTTTACACACCGATCTGCGCAGCTGCAACAGATCTAAGGGAATTATTACTGATCACACAGAAGTGACAAAGGTTTAGATGCCTATCCAACATAGGAAAGCTGTTTTAATGCAATTAATAAGGATGTACTCATGAAAAGCAAGGCTGCTAATCCTTGCACCAATTTCAGACACTTCCTTTTGTATTAAAATACTCTCTACTCCCCCAACGTCCTTCACTAGCACTACTTTGTAGTTTAGTGGAATAATGCCCTACATGTGCTCAGGATCTTGTTCAAGATCACCCAAGTATTTACAGAATTCATTCTGCACAAGAGCAAAAGCAGCCTGAACTTAAATCAGGAAAAGCAGGCCAGTTAGCACGTAACATTTAATAGCTTCCACCAGCAGAGCTAACGTTACACCTGTTTTGGCTAATTAAAATATATAGTAACTATACACGATTACAGGAAGAGTTTTCGGCTAACCGCCCAATCAACTGGGCATTACTTATGACAGAGTACTAAAAATACTAATGGAATTCAAATGCTATTGGATGTCACTATGAAAAGGGAACTTTTATCTCTAAAGAGAGAAGCCTCAGAGGCATGGACTCAGAAGCAGAGATTCAGTAGATGCTACAGGGACTGGGAGAACATAGACAAACATCCTATTTCCAGATCACCTCTTGATTTACTGTCTTACATAGGTATAAACCACCTCACATCATCCATAGCTTTCTCCCAAACCCTTCTATGAAACTCATGGCTCACTTTAATTAAAGTACTTCAATTTCACTGTAAAAGAACTTCCAATCACATAATAAATCCATGGTATTTCCTCAGTCACTATGCAAAATCAACAAGAACCAGACAGCTTTTAAGCCCTGTAGTCACTGATAGCATTTCATCTCCTCATATACTGCTCTGTCCAATCGCAAAACTTTCATACCAAGAAACTTGAGAAACAAAGCTTTCTCTAGATAATGTAGACACTTGAATTCTTAGCAGCACCAACAAATCACAAACTTTAAATATAAACAACCTTCCAGTTTTTATCAGATTTAACACTTCATGCTTTTGAAATCACCACCTTGCTGTATAACATAGGAAACTACTTTTAAGCAACTTGAGCAGGAATACGAGCTCCTCTAAAAAATGAGAAAACTGCAAGCAAAGATAAGGTTTTGCCAAAAAAGACCCCCACCACAACCTAAGAGAGAAACACATGTCAACAGCAAAATGTAGAGCATTGAAAACAAATGAGATGTTACAACAACTTTCTATTTTGAGGGAATGTAATTGTTCAGTGAATGATTTTTTATTTGTTTGTTTTCAAGGGAAGAGATGCATTTTACAACGTCATATAAATGCAACTTGCCCAAAGCCTGCACTTGCACAGAGCTTTGGAAATGCCACACAGTTTTAATTAAATTAAGCAAGTCTGCTACAGAGATTTTGGAGAACAATTCTCACAAGTAAAAATAGTCTACAAAGAAAATAAGGCATTAGACCACTTCCTGCTACAGCATCCATTTGTCCACAGTTATTCAACCTTACCGGATAACATACATTAAAAATGTACGTCAAGATTAAATCCCCTACAGATTAGTGGCTGAACAGTCTGACTATATAAAGCCACAAGTGCCATGGAGTGGGGCAGGCAGCCTGGCATTCCAGCTGTCTAGAAATTCTCAAGAGGCTTCAAAGAGATCAGCAGTGCTGGCCTGTCTAAAGGCCTGCCTAAATGCTGCATGTCCCTACAGACAGCAGTGGAAATGCAACACTTGAGAAGAACAAGAGCCTACAAATTCACCGTTCAGAATGTTCTGCAGCACCATATTCCTCAGCACCTCAAAAAGGTGTCATTCCTATTGCCTTAGTGACTTCTCTCCTGCAGCAACCAATTGTACACCTAACAGTTGAGTTGTAGAATAGTAACACCAATAATACAGAGGCCTATGCTCAAATTTCATCATCTCAAGCAGAATTTACACAGAATAAAGTAGGAACATTCACAGACTATCTTTTCTTCCCAGATTTGTTGCCCTTGAGGCATCTGAATTTACTATGTTAGTATTACTAATTTCACTAATTACTTTAACCCTACTTCTGGGCACATGTGGGAGGTGCTTTAACCTTCCTTCCAAGATGTTGATCTGTTCAACTTAACCCAATCAACAGACAGAAACTTAAGGACTATAGTCAAGTCATTATTCTTCTCCAGCATGCTATCATGCAGTGTACAAACTACTCTGTAATCACAGGTTTGTTTTTTTTTTTAAATGTGGCAAAGGAGAAAACTAAATTACACACGAAGTAGTTAAAATATTGTAGCAGAAGCCAAACTTTTAAGGTAAATTTCTCCCTGTTTTCCAAGACTTAATTTCACCCACATGACATACTGAGGGTACATTAGACCCCTCAGCACTGAAGCAGCACATCAAATGTTATAACTGGGAAGACAAGTGTTCAACTGTGTTGACACTGAGCCAAAAGAGAAGACTTAGCTAATAGGTCGAAGTTCTTTAGGTCAAATTGCAATCTTTCTAATTCCCTATACATAGCAATGCTAATAATTTCTTAATATCTGAACTAAGTTTTCCTTGCTGTAAATCGAGATCATTTCTCCCTAGTGAAAGTAAATGCCTTATTGCTATTACAACAGATTTTTACTCATCAGAATATTCAGGAATATACTCTGTCCTAATCGGAATTGAGTGCTGTTCAGCATTACTGCTGTATGCTGTCACTTAGAAGACTAAAATGCATATACCTGGAAAGCTTCTGTTTTCCCCTATACTCCCAGTTTGTTTTAAGGTATATGCAAACTTGTTTTCTTCAGATGTTTTCTTCAAACATCACTTTCTTGAGTCTATTAAAATTGTTGTTCCTCTTTCCAGATTGCCCAAAGCACTTCAAAAGAATTCTTAAAAGCTGGACATAGTACTCCATCTAAGACCCCTACAACCACCTTTTGGAGTGGGGAATTTTCCTACCCCTACTACTGTTACAGCCTCAAATATAATTGAAAATTACTGAGACAAATTCTTACTAAGAAGCAACATAGTGATCCACAAGATGTAGGAAAAATAACCAAATCGATTTAAATATTTCTGTGACTTACAAGAGAACTCACATTACCAGCTTATTCTGGTAACCTTGAGTCACTTTATAAAGGGTCTTCAGCCTACAGACCTCCTTAAGAATTACAGAAATACCAGACACTTAATTTGACTCTTATTTCTGTAACATTTAGTTGTACTCTCTTTTTTCCTTCCTCAAGGAAGGAAATGTCTCTTTCACTGATTAGAAGTTAAGAACAGGGACTCAAAAGCCACATCGAAACAGACTACTCTATACATCCCATCTACTGCAGTTCCACACAAGCAGGTACCTGGCCTTGTCAAAATAACTCAGGCTCCCTAAGAAAGATCCATATAGACACAAAAGAACAAGTAAGGAGAGTATTCAGTCTGTAATTGGGCTTCCTCTATTTATACTGTCATTACAGAGTATGAAAAACCACTGGAGGGTGATTTGAGGCACTTGAACCAAGGTAGTTAGGTCACTCTTCAGTATGAGGAGCTTTCATGCCAAGAAAATTCAAGTTAAGGATCCCAAACATTAAGATAGCAGTCATTAATTGCCCAGTAATAGAAAGACAGGGATCTGTCTAAATTATTCCATCTCTGTAATGCAGTTTGTCCCAGGGCTGAACAATAGCAGCTCCATCATCTTAGGACCAAAACGTAAAATAGTCTAGGACTTGATGAAAAAAACCCCAAAATTTTACACTACAAATATGAAAAACACTTTTATAAAAACGAAGAAGTTACTTGCAATGCACAGTATCCTCTTACTTTGCTAGAATGAGCTCGAGTCAGACAACACCTCACATCTTATGACACCATCTGGTGGCAGAGTTCACAGAAGACAATGACCAGATGTTAAGAAGAGCTTTAACAATTTAAATGTGATTCTGAACAAATTTAAATTTGATTCTTGATATGTTATGAATTTTGTCTTTACAAGATAAAGTGGAAAGAAAAATTATGGAAAAATACCTCCATTTTACCTAGATAAAGTTATCTACAAGTCGTAGTACCTCTGTACACAATTTGGGTACATATTTGGAGGATCATGATTGTTGTCATTCTTTTCACTGGATTTACAGTCCTGCATAAAGTAAGGTGCCTTTACCTGGCATCTCTACAAACACGTGGCATTTTTGGACATATGGACTAGAAGGTAACCAAAGACTGGTCACAGCAACCAAACTGACTCAAGTAACAGATAAATACAGTTCAGCTAAAACCAAGGACTTGTTCCAAATTGAAAATGCCAGAATATAGCATGTATTTAACTACCTTTACATTCAAAAATCAGTCATTAGTGGAACATACACAGTGGTGCAAATGTAGCTGCCTTGAATTGCCAGTTCAGCTGAAGTCAAGCAAGGACTTAAAAAAAAAGCTAATACAGTTGCCTCTAACGGAAGAGACTTCAGGATAGGAATCTATTTTCCAAGGTAAGAAGTTACAGAGCCACAACATATTGGCTCTTAGAGCCATCAGTAATAATCCCAAATATTGCAGTGCTAATGAAGACATACTTTCAAACTTCAGCAAAGCTATTAACCAAACGTTTGGAAGGTTTAAATGGTCTTTTTTTAAGGCTAGGATCTATGAGTTCAGCAAAACAGTCAATTAGCTTAATGTAGTAATTGAGGCTTAACTAAAAAAGTAGCAAATAACAAAAGAACAGCAATACCAGCAAACACATAGGAAATGCAGACCCAGGAACTCATGTTGAAAACAAAGTCCAGGAAACCTCAATCCTCTTCTCTCTCAGGTCATGCCTCAGAACCCATTTGTTCATTAAACCTGGACTTCAGCAAGGAGGGAAGGTGAAAAGGAACATTTTTACTTGCGTGAGGACATTTTGATCAAACCATTATCAATGAGGATACTACTATTTATACTGAGGTATAAACTTGAATCATCAGTGCCAGCACTATCCCATGTTTCATAAACCTTTATGAACTAAAGTTCATAAGCACCCCTGAACAGCTCTTAATATAATTCAAGTTTGCATGTGAACTACCCTGCTTGCAAGGATGAATGATCACATGGTACCTCATGTTTCATCGTACAACTAAGGCTTGTTTCACACTGTAAGTCCTACTTCTTTTAGGCTACTAGATACTTATCACCACATTCATTCATGACTTTACTTCGACACAATTTTTAGCTGTATGCTATGAGGAAGGTAACTAAGCCATTCTACTCAAAGCCACAGTTCATCCCTGGAAACGCTGCTGGCAGGTATGAAGAGACCGCACGGCAGCTCCACATCTGTAACAGAGATCCTGCTCTAACAAAGCTCGGGTCTAGCAGGATAACAAAGTTCAGGGATCACTGTAGCACTACAGTATGCTCACCAGGCAAAACAAGGAGCATGCCCGCCTCAAGGCAGATCCCCGCTGTCGCAGCCTCTCCGGGCCGCGTTGACCACGTTGCCCCCCCAGACCCTCCCCTCCGCTAGAACTGGAGCGAATCCCACCACCCCCGGCCGCCGCCGCCACAGCGCCCCCCGAGCGCTCTGCTCCGCGCAGCCCCGGTACTCACAGCTCGCACCCCTGGCCAGGGGAGCGGCCCGGCAGCCCATCGCCCTACGGCACCGCGGAGGCCCTACCCGACCGCCCCAGACTCGCCGTCCGCTCGGACCCGCGCCGGGCCCGCCCCGCAGAGACCCGCGCGCGCGGTGGGGCGGGGACGCGGCCCGCACAGCCAATGGGCCGGCGGCCTCGCTGCACGCCGGGAGGCACGTCTGCGTGCCCGCGAGGGCTGCCGGGAAGTGCAGTCCTGGCAGCGCGGGAGCTTCGCGGCGAGGGCTGGCGGCACCGCGGCCAGCTGCGGGCATTTCGCAACCCATAATGATGTTACTGCTGTTGTATGTAAATACAGCGCTGTAAACACGCATAGTGCCACGTGCTGCCGCTCTAAAAAGCAGGAGCCGAAGCCCGCTGTTACCTCAGCAACGAGAAGCCACGAACATCGTGCTGCGCCGGCCCTGCCAGGGCGTCTGCGTCCGGGAAATCTGCTCCAGGGGTGGTTTGGAATACAGGAGGACAAACGGGCTCGTGCCCGCGTTTTGCAGCGTACAATAACCTTACTCCACTGGGACTTTTTGTGAAGCCAAAGTCCGCAGGAGCTCAGAACATCCCGAGATGCTCCGAGAGGGAGAGGAGGGAAACCAAGGGCCTGAGATGGCAGCAGTGTCACTGGCAGAGGGACCTTGTGCAGGCTCAACGAGCCGCGTAAGCTGCTGCGGCCCCGGTGCTGTGAGAGCTCTCGGCAGTACTGGCAGTGCTTGCAACCTTACAGCAGGTACGGGATCCGACAGCAACCTGAGCATCCACACCCGAGAAGGAATACATCTTGGGAAAGGCTGCCCGGTCCAGCTGGAAAAGATGAGGTCTGTGACTACCAACAGCAGCTTTCCCTTTCTGCCCTCGTTCTCTCCGCTGGTGACAGAAGAGAGTTGACACGCATCATCCTAATAGAGAGAAACTTAACTGGAGGAAAAGCCTCGCTGATACAAACAGGGCTATTTCTGTACCGCGCTATTTGCTAACGCAGCTCCGCTCAGTGCGGCCGGACCGCGGGGCACCGCACGGACGGCGCACGCTCCACACACTGTGCATGGACACCGCGCACACCCCGCATGGCACATCCCGCATGGCACATCCCGCACGGCCCGGGGCGGCACTCATGTGCCCCAACGCCGCGCGGCGCCATGAGGGGTGTACCGAGGCCTCCCGCGGGGGCAGCTGGTTCCCGCCGCCATGTTGGGAGTGGCGGATGGGCGGTGCCCGCTCTCGCTTCCGGGGGCGGCGGCGGCGCGCGCGGGCCGGCGCTCGGCAGCGGGGGCGGGCGGGACATGGGACCTTAAAGGGGCGGCTGAGCACGGCCCAGCCCGGCTCGGCGGGAGGGAGCGGCGGCGGCGGTGGTACCGGTAGGTGTGCGGCGGGGCGGGCTTTGCTAGCTCGCAGCGCCCCGGGCAAGGCGGTAGCTGGGTGGATTCGGTCCTTGGCCACTTTCCTGCCGCGTAGCGCCCTGAGCGGGGCGGGCGGGAGCCTCTATGGGCCGAGGCGGCCTTGGCCCGGCCGCGCTCGCCCCGCGGTTGCCCGCCGGTCTCGCCTGCGCGGAGTAAGGGGGCGGCCGGGACGCGGCGAGGCCGGGGGCGGACCCGAGTCCTCCAAGCCCCCGCCTCAGCCTTGGGCTGCGCCCGTCCCCTCGTGTGTGGGGAGGCCTTGCGGGCTCCCCCCTGCCGCTGGTTTTTATTTGCTTGGCGAGAGCCCGTGAGTTGAGCTGTTGATAGGATACAGGAGAAAACCCACCCATTGCTGCGTCTTCTTAAACCTACATTGTGCCCGGCTGCCTTTGAACTCAGCCGTAACATATTGTAGTGGTAATCAAAAAGCATCGAACGTAACCTGTGTTTTGGTGCTTCCCTCAGCTGTATGTCTCGATGCCCTTGGCTCTTCTGGGAAGCTAATAAGAGTCAGCTTTATTTTTCACTTTTTTCCTCTCTTTTCACTTTCTGTTTCACACAAGAAGGTTATCAAATCAATACACGTGATTTGACAACCTAAGTAAACGAGCTTAAGAAACTTTGGAAATTTCTTTATGCAACTTCTGTAGCTATTTACCTTCCTCTTTTTTGCTCTCTCAAAAAGGGCAGTAGACGCTCAGTGTTCGGAACTAAGGATGTTGGTTTACTTCCCCTTCGTAAACAAACCTGATCCTGTGCTTTAAAGAGAACAGCTATGTAGGGAGGTGTATAGGGACAAAGGGAAAGCCTCCTATGGTATTGATTGACTGATGGAATTGAGCAGTTAATTGCTTACTGACATTCTAGTAATAAATGCCTGACCTCAGCTCTGCAGTTTTTGAACTAGGTTATTATACAGCACAATTTGTGTCATTAGAAGAAATGGAATCTGTTACTGTCTGTATGTGAATCAAAGTTTGACTATAAAATTCTGTTGGCCAGTAACTAATTTGAAGGAGGTTTCACGAGGCTTTTCCAGGGACAAAAATGAGTTGTTGAGATGAGTACAGAACTGAATACGCTGCACAGAGGAGGTGGCATTGCTCACGCCCGTTCTTTGTGCTATCGCCTCTGTGCAGTGTGTTCAGGAAGCTGATAAGAAAGCAGGAAGCATGCAGAGTTGTGTCCTGTTCTTGGGCCCTGGCCTCTTCCCCCAGGGTCACAGATGCTTTATTCATTTATCTTGTAGGCATAATCATGTGGAGGAGTACATTCTGGTGCTGATACCTTGTGTTACCCTGCATTATCTGGGCTGAATTTCAGCTAACTAACAAGTAGGATAATTGCTTGTGTTAAGGAAGGGTTTTTAAGAAAACAATAATTAAATTAGTGATGATGAATTTGAAGGAACAAAAGCCTTCAACCCTAAACACAAAGGTACCTAGCTTGTAAACTGTTTAATTTTTGATCTTTGCAAGCATGTACATAGATTTCATAATTAACATTCATATTTCTAAGAATATTGTTTTGTGAATTTTTCTGTCTTCTGGTGAAGCCAACAGTTTGCTTTATAAGTGAAAGAACTGAGAGCATCCACAATCACCTCAGTCTGTACCAATTCACTGATGGCTAAATTACAACTGGCTTTCAGTCAATTGCTGCAACAGTAGGGTTGTGTCATCACCGAGCTCCTCCCTTTGTGATAAAATGGCATAGGCTGCGCTTCTCAATCTTACTTTTAGATGTACTGGAAAGTAGCTATTTTTTTTCCCCTGGTATGTATATGAAACATCCCATGAAAGAATTAGTGAATTGGGAATTGTAGGGGTTTTAGTATTCTTACTAGTGGTTTATGTTAAAAGGGTAGAGTACAAGTATTACTTTCTCTTTCTTCTGAAGTGAAGAGATAGTCAAATACTGTTATTTGGAAGTAGAAAGGGTAGGATTCTTTGATATCATGAATTTATAAAAATGAGTAACCTTAATAAGCCTTATGGTTTTGATATTAAAGAGATAATTTTATACCAACTTTCAGTTCTCACAGCCATTGTCTTCCATGGCCAAAAGTATTATGTTGATTTCTTCTTCTCTCACTTTACTTCCTACTCACAAGAAAATTGTGGATGCCTTACTTATTCTCCTTTTATGGAACCAAAGCACAGTCTGCTCTGTGTTATTGATGTTAGCAAAACATCTTCAGCAGAAAAAAACCTGAAATGCACAACAATTGGTAAACGTTTGTGTTTAGCTTTTAGTTTAGAGTTATTGGTAAAGAAGGAAGAAAATTTTGCGATATTGATTAGAAGCGTATCTTCATAGCAAAGGGGCTGGGTTCAAATAGAGGACCCTCAGACGGTGAGTAAGGGATCAATTTATGGTACGTAGCAAATGTGGTGGATATATGACAGATTTCTGAAAGGTATTCTGCCTGTCAGAGGCACAAAACTGCTGCTTGTTGCAGATCTCCAGCCAGAGATGCAGGACAAAAGTCTTATCACTCAAGGTGGTTTTATGAAAGTGCAAGCAATCAAAACAATTTATTGGTCTGATGCAAGTCGACTTGTGACTTTTGACAGCCTGCTTCTGTCTATAGTCTTTTACAGACATGGACTGTGTAACTGTGTTGAACAAGCACTTTATTAGGTCTCGTGGTGCCCTGCAGTTAATTTAAATTCATAAAGACCAGTAAGGGTTTCAAGTGCTTTGGAAAGCACAACCTGAATGCGTCATGACTATCATAAAGAAAGGAAGTAAGTTGTCTTTTTTCCTAGAGCTAATGAGCATTAGAATTTCTTCTCAACTAGTGCTGAAGAAAAACATGTTCAAGCAGCATGTAAATTGCCTACTATAGCTTATAATACCTTGGAGTGTATCATAAGCCTAAGAAGATTATTGGTATTGAAAAACCCTTGAAAACACTGTGCAGCCTCACTGTTGTACTGGCTTTTGGAACTTGTTTACATTGGAGACTGAGTGTGTTGGCATAAAAAGCTGGCTTCCGGTTTGCAAGTAATTCTGAATGAAAATGAAAACCCTTAGTGGTAGAGAGGAGTATCTTAGACCAGTGAGAGGGACAACAAAAAAAATTTCATGTTAATTTTTACTGTGCGATCTGGGAAGGTGAGTGGCCAAGATGAATTACGTTGTTGCTGGCTGCATAAAACAGTACTTGGATCTTGAGAGTCTGTCAATTCAAATGCTTTTTTCCCCTCCAGAGGTTTTAATTCTCCTATTTTCGGGAAACCCAGCCAGTGAGCTGCTGTTGGATGAAGTGATACTGCCTTGGCTTTCTGATCACAAGCAGATATTTAGAATTGAAGATGTGTACATGCTGACAGTAGGTCACTGTGGGTATTGCTAACACTGAATTTGCTGCTGTTGCACTACCAAAGTTATGGCTTGGCAGATGTTAGCTCTCAGTTCAGTAGCTGGGGTTGGGACAGAACTCTGATTCAACACTTGTGACTGATCCACCTGAAATATGGCCATGTGAGCAGTGCTTTTCCCAAGCAAAAATTTGCCCCATCTTCTCACAAGACCACCCTACTGCTAATATAGATATAACCATAGCTGACATCACTCTGCGTCACTCTCCAGTTTTTTCAAATTAGACAAAGAACCTACGAAAATGCTTCAGCTGCTATATGGGTGTGTTGATAAGCCAAATTAAGATCTCTA